ACGGCCGCTGCGGTTTTCATCTTTCAAATCATAATTGCCAGCTCTAAATCTCTTAAACCAATCGCGGACTGTACTAATAGTCGTAGAACCATCACCGTAAACGATAAAAATCTCGTTTGCAGTGTTCTTCGCTCTATCACTTTTTTTAAAGCAATGAAGCATAACATGCCGCAAATGTGTGCTTCTTTTAGCTATCCATATTGAACGGCGTAGACAAATTTTTATAAGGAACTTTGTCACCAACGAAACGTACTCTAAAAGAGCTCTGGGATGACTGAAACCGATACCCTAAACGGCCAAGAGGTAAGCTGCGTGTTTATATAAACACAGCCAGTTGGATTCATTTAATAGCGCGGCGCGGAAAGAACTTATGGGACACCTTAATAGTAGGAACGAAAGAGACAGGAACAAGGATGAGAGGAATGCCATCGAAAACGGACAGGGAACTAAAGAAATTCCTGAATCAGAAGTAGAGGGACAAGGAGTCGTCGTATAAGGATGCCGAAGGTGAAAGAGGAGTGGCGCGGGGTATGAAAGCACAAGTAAACCAAATGAAGAGAGTGGAATTATGAGGACGCGCCGGATGAGATATGGATGGAAATGAGAAAGATGAAAGAAGAAATTAAAGGGGAAATAAAAGAGAGCGGTAATCGCGAGAACGATGATCCAACGTAACGAGAAAGAAGCGAGACGAAGGAGGGGGCAAATAAAAAATCTGGAAGTTAAAAATACGTTGTTAAAGATACGAGATAGAACGCGAGGAAAACGAACGAACAATAAAAGGAGATCACAAGGCGGTGGGGATCTCTCTCTGTGGAAGTTAATCAAAGTCGACGGTGACACAACGCAATCCTCCGCGTCACCTGTTGCAGCTTTTGAACAGGTGCAAGCACTGGCGCCACCGCGTAAGCCGATTTAACAATATCGCGAAGTGGGTTAATGCGTGCGGACAGGGTCGTTTCGCAAGCTCTTCTTTTATTTGATTTTTCGCGGTCGCGCGGCCAAGTGGGATCGGGGATCCGGTGTGTTTTGTTTAGACAAAGTCTGCTCTCCCGGTCCCCGCGGCGCACGTGGTTACGTATGAATCGGCGTGGTATTTTCAATGCCCGGTCTACTTTGTGCAAATACACGTGCCGGGAAAGCGTTCGCGTTCGTCAGCTATCTGGCAGTCGGCCAAGGATGGGTGCCCGTTCATTCTTTTGACCATGAAATCGTTCGCGATCTATCAAGGCCCGCGAACCGCTCGGAAATCATTGCCCCTGTCCCTGTGAGAACGGCCGTGCGGCCGTGTGCTGACCCGCGTACCATTTCCGGTACGCGATCTTCAATTAACACCAGGTTCGCGGAACGCGTCGAAATGGCGCGCACCAAATTTTTCAATTCGCGATCGTTGAAACTGCAAAAATACGAGGAATTTACCGGCCATTTATTCTAATAAAAGTCGTTATAGATACGAGCAAACACGTGTTTGTTATCCGAATGGAGCAATATAGCAGCTCTTCGGTGTTCCGCGTACGGAAAGAGTCTGTGAAAGGGTCTGCGGCGAGCTTCCGGAAATCGGATAGCAGAAAATTGCTGGTTCGCCGGGCCGGTGGTCGGGGCAATAAATTTGTCAAATTGCTGGCGAACAGTGGAAAGTTCCCCGACGGTAATGCGTCTCCGATCGGATACACGTGACCTGAAAGAAGTTCGTTCGCACCCGTCGCGTCGGGGACTGGCGTCTCGTCGGTACAAATTTACAACGTAAAGGTAGCCTCACATAGTTGCTCGAGCATTTCCTGGTCGAACCGAAATCCCAAAGAGCCGCAAGAATCGGCTTCAGATCAAAGAGTCGAGCGTTCGGCGAGCATCCCTCGCGATGCTCGATATCTGGAACCCGCTACAACGAAATTAATCTCTCGATCCGAGTGTCTGCCTCGAGCTAATTCGGTGAAACGTCCGGCCGGACGGCATCGAAAACAAACGATGACAACGATGCCACTTATCCGATGGTCTAAGTGCCGCGTAATTAACGCGGTCGCGACCGTAACCGGCCGATAGAGTAATAGAACGCGAAGACCTACGGGTAGATATAGGTGAATTCAATTGACGATCGCGAAACTGGTCCTGGTTAACGGGTCAAGGAACGATCGCGCGACGAACGGAGCGCAGGCGAAAGGGGAAGGAATGAGTTTATCTTGTCACGCGTGGTAACAACCTTTAGTTAAGGCGATTAGAGTCAGGCGACTCGTCGGTCGCGGCTGTTATCGTCGTGCCACGGCAGATTGTTATTTATAGAGAGAAAGTACAGGCCGGGCGCGCACGCAGGCTCGCAACAAGAAAAGGTACCGATCCGAGAACGCCGCGCGGCCCCGGCTCCTCCTGTAATTTCGTCGCGATTTTTGGCTTTCTAGCCGTCGAAAGCGGCCGAGAGCAAAACCGCGACGCGACCGGAATCGCGAGGCCTCGCGATTTAGCAACCTCGAGGCTCCTGCGACCTCCGTTGCTCTCTCTCGTCACACTTGGCCTCTGGGGTCTCTCGTCCTTCGTTCCACAAGCGGCGAGGACGCCGCCGACGTAAAAAGGATCGCATCTCGCATCTAAATTTCGTTTACGGCCAATTTCTGCGTTTCGCAATCGGCGTCTTGCTGAAATTCTATAGCCGAGTGTACGGCCGAATAGTCTCAACCCTTCGCGAACGAAAACGAGGTGAAGGACGTACCGCGGCATTTACGCCTCGTTTCGTCCACGCCCATGGAGGTCCCCCATGGGGACACCCATGGAATCGACGAGCGATAGACGGAAACGAACGTTCGTACCGGCAACAGTCAATTCTGATTATTGATAAACGCCTAGCCGATCGATCAATCACGATGAAAGTGCACATACATCAATGTTGTACGGACTACATATCTGGAATAACTAGCGTGTCCCTATTTGGCCACGTGAAAGACCGTCGTGGATAGCGTTGCTCTATGTACGAGCCGGCTAATCCCATCAGAAAATTGTCCGGCCATCAAAAGCTTTCTACGAACCGAGAGGCAGCCTGTCCGATCCCGCAGAGCAAACAAGTTAAGTGAAGCCGAACATGCACGACGAATTAACTGGTCGCCGCGACGCCGTCGGTTACCATCCTAGAAAGCAGCGCGACAGGAAGGTACGGAATAGGTGCAGGTAATGGCGCGGGTATTGGTGCAGGCCTCGGCGCGGGTATTGGTGCAGGTATTTGTAGAGGCATCGGCGGAGGAAAATTGTGCCCGGCACCGCGGCGATAAAGCGTTCCCGTCACGAAATAGCAAGCCGAAGGAAATCGGTGTATCGCGATACGCAGAATGCGTGAAGTTTCGTTACCGAGAACCGATTACCTCGTCGATGCAACGTAAAATTGTACGTAAGATCGTAGTGTGTCTGCGGTATGTCGGGCAAGATCAACTTACCATAGAAGTAACGCGACCAGTGCCTCCTCTCCGATCCCGCGCCGTGCCTTCCACCTCCGAACGTGTCTCTTTTCCATGATCTCCGCGCGTAAGAGCGTCCCTTCTATGTCTCCTCGTGTCTTCTGTGCGAACGATGCTACAACTTCTTTCTACGACTCGTTCATGATCCGGTGTGTGCTGCTTGTGTATGTGTGTGTACGTGCGCGTGTGTGTACATGTTAGTGTGGGTCCGCAGCATTGTCCCTCCGATTTCAGCTCATCCGGTGGTCCGTGTCGCTTCTTCCCTTCTCTCGTCGATGCTCTCCTCTCCGGGCCTCTGTTCCTGGCGCGAGTTCCCGACGACACACGCTTCATACGGCCACCGCGTCCCTCGTGTGCCGCAAGAAGACGCCGCGACGCCTCGTCCCGCGTGATCTACGCCTCGACAATTAACCAAGCAAATTGGAAGAATTTGTACGGTTTCGTACATCGTTTCACGGGGATCGTCGCCGGTTCACCAGTACGGGGCGTCGTTCGCCAGGTGTTGCCAGGACGCGAACTCGCTCCAGGTGCGAACGTTCACCCTGGTCGCGTCCGTGATCCGCGGTATGCTGTTCTCCCGCGCCATCCCGCTGCTCGGGATACCGTCGCACTTCGTCGTCAAGATGTCGTACCGTTTCGGCGGGGCTCGGGGCTGCAACCGAAACAACGAACGGCCACTGAACAACGGCCGCTACACCACGGGCCAATACGGCGCCAATTCTCGTTATTTGAACTTTACACGGGCCATGCTCGGACTGCTGTGGGATAACGAGGACGCGCACAAGCTGGACGAGAGCTGATGCCGCTAACACATAGTTTCCCAACCTCTTTTTGCCCTTTATCCCTGAAACGCCTTCTCCGGTATACCGCGAGAACCCTCGCCGAGTTGGGAAACTGTGGGTTAGCGTGAGCGCGCAAGCGGAAACAACCAAGCAACGCTTTTGGAATAGGTAACCGTCCAGCTAACTTCATCGAAGTCCTCTCAGACGCCGGGTGAAGCTAGCCGTCTGGACAACTGCAGGCCTCTGAGCACCTTTCCAAAAGGTCTGAGATACTCCATGGGGATCAGCTCCTCGGCGGCGTTACACACCTCCAGTTTCTTGCGGACGATGAAGTTCTTCCCCTCGTTGTTGTCCCAGAACTCTTTGCCGTCGGTGCGGTACCGCACGCAGAACTCGACCACGTTCGACTTGAGCGGCAGGGTCAGTCGAAACCGGAACGTGTCGTAGAGGATCAGTGCAGGGGAGCCGGGCTGCTCGACGTACGTGCAGTAGACGTCCTCGTGCGTCTTCCAGGAGTCGTTGCTCGCCCTGACCACGACCTCCTTGTCGTAGGCGATGTTCCGCACCTTCACCGTGCCCACCAGACATTGTTCAGACTCTCTGACGATCACGTTCTCCAAGCTCACGTTCCCTTGGTCGAGTTTCCGCCGGAATGCCAGGTAGTCGCTGGCCGGTTGCGGGAACGTTACTTGCCAGGGCGACGTTACCTCCGGCGGCTCCTCGCTGTCTATCTTCGAGTGAAGAAGCCTGCCGGTTAGGCCGGCCAGGTACGCCGTGCTCCATAATGGCGGCACGTTGCTGGGCTCCGACATCACGCGGACCTGAACAAGACCGTGGATCGTCAGTGATTCGGCTCTGATAAAGTCAAGGATCGCGGGGCCAAGAATGGATGACTACTGAAATGGTGACAATGCAGGTGCGAGAGGAGCCGTGTGTACCTGGGTAAGCGGACGACCGCGGTCGTCGGCGAACACCACCCTCTTCTTCTGCTTGTTGTTGCCATCGTTGCTGCTGCGAAGGTTGTTTATCGCTAGAGAACCGGTCGACAAGCAGGGTCTTATCCTGGGCGGCACCGACCTACTGGTAATCGTCGGTGCCGTTACCACTAAGGGACTGTACAGCAGCGAGCTGTACACTGGCGGACTATGCCCCAGAAGCAGCTCGGCGGGCATCGCTATGGAACACATTTAGACCTGGAAAACGCAAGATAATCGTCCCATTAATCCATTGTTTCTACCGTGCGATTCACGGGTCTCGCTAAGCCCCGGAACTTTCGAGCCGCTTCAGAACAATCGCGGAGCACCCCGTTAGCTCGGAACGCTTAGCTCCTCTCGGCCGAAGCGTAATACACCGAAAATACCACCTGCGACCGAAAATAGCGATAATCTTCCGCTATCGCACGTCGTCGTTAGACTGTTATCCTTGAGGATCGTGCGGATATTTTTGGATCCGATCGTCGCATCCTCGGGCAGACGTTCGAATCGGACTCGAGACCCGACGAAGCTGGAATTGGCGCCGGCCGAACGCGGTTCAACGGCGGAACACTGAATAACTCTATGAATAACTTACGTTGTCGGTCGGTTGCCAAAAATTTCGTCAACGGAAACGTGGGAACGGGGCCGATCACGTGAGCGCCTGACTAATCGAAAATCGCGTGACAAAACGAGCCGCAAATATTCGCGGATCGAGAGAGAGAGAGAGGAGAGCGACGCGCGGCGGATAGGTGGAACTTGTAAAGGGAGCCCTAAGTCCATTTATAGGTTTCAATGAAATTTTATCTGCCGGTTGCAGAATGAGCTGACTCAGTCTGTTGACCGACTTGCTTGCTAGGGTAGATAGCGCGGGCGTATTTTTCAGAGTAAATAGAACTAGATATACCTGTCTAGCCGACAGTGCAACGACATCGTGCGCGCCGTTGCTCGGTTCGATGGGAAAACCGATCGCCGGAATCGTGCCCAGTTCTCGCTGGCAACTGTTCTCCAAAAAATCACTCCGGGTCTAGTAGCCGAACACGGTCCCCGAAGCTCGCTTTCTGCCGCGTCGGTCACACCGGTGACCGACGGCGAACGACCGGACCGAAACTACCGATTAACGGCGCCGGGAAGTCTGCGAAGTTCAGGAAAATTAACTCGCCGCTTAAGGTGTTAACTGCTCGACGGATAGCGTACAACGGAGAACGCGGACACGCTGTTCTATCACGGTGGCGGTCTTCTACGTGTCGGAATAGGTCCCTGCTGTAGTCATGTTACGCCCGGAGTAGAATTACTGACTCTTAACTATGGCTAGATAGTCTCTTCTCCCGTCCCGCGAGACTCGCTCGCAAAACTAGACCCGGCATGTACCAGACCGGAACCGTGCAAACACACCTAAGCATGCACTATCCGGTGAGCGCGGTATACTTAGGTGCACACGCACGGATCGACCGGTATCGCGAATTCGATGTGTTTCGGGTTTCATGCGACTCGAATTTATGACCGGTCATTTCTATTCCAACTCTCCCTTCTTCTCCCTCCCTTCCCCCCTCCCTTCCTCTCTCTCTTTCTCTTTCTCTCTCGACTGATCAGACGGAACATCAACATGTGAAACAGCGAAAAAATGATAGGGTTATCGCAAAAGCGAAATAGATACTGTTGGCGCCGCTGCATTTTTGTAAACAGAATTGTTTTTGCTAGTTGCAAGATTACAGTTTACCGACGGTCGAGGACGAATGGCTTTTCCCCAACGCCAACGGCCTTCGCGAAATTTTCCTGATCCTTGCTATTACGACTGTTAATCGGCAAACCTCCACGAGAAGCGATCAAATCAATTTCTTCGATCGATCACAGGTTATAATAAAAATAGCGGGAAATCTAAATAAATTCAGTCTCGACGTTTTTTTGTAGGGTGATCGCGTTTCATTTTAGTGTTAATAACGTATGAGAACCACCGCTGCTCTAGATATTTTTGCCCGAAAGTCCGAGTGCTCGTAAAAATCGTAATTGGAACAGTCGCCATATTTTCTGCTCGCAATGACCCGTCGTCGACCCTGATCAACGATTTTTCAGTCACTTTTTGTTCTATCTCGTTGGATCTTGTCGCGTCAGGAGTAAATAATCTGGTGATTTGTAATTTTATTGTAAATCGGCTGCGCAGCAGAATGCTGTAAGAGAGTGTGTACACTATTACGCGATGCAAATGGAGAAACAAGCAGAGTCAGCTTCTTCCGGCGCTTAACGTGTCTCAACGGGAACAATTGATGAGTTATTTATCGTGGCGACCGCGGCCGCCTGAATAAAAAGTGAACGACTTTTAATGAGCCCCGTGAAAAGAAGTGATTTACGAGTATCGTGTCTCGAGGCTATACCCCGAGTGTCGCGAATAGCCAATGCACGGCCAACGAGTACAACGTCGAGAGATGACGGTCAAGGAGAAGAAACAAAAAGAAAAAGAAACGGTAGCACGACGAAAAGAATCATCTGCGATGCGCGGCCGATGCGAAGCGACAGGGTAGAGGTCGCGTATGAAACGCTTATGCATTGTTTATCATTACGTGAACGAGACGCGCCAAGGTCGGGCCGCGTTCGATCTGCTGAGACGATCGAAAAAGAGAAACACGACCGGAGGAGAAAACGATTATCGTAATTTTCCGCATATTTCGACTTGTGATCCCCTAGGCAGAACTGCATCGACAGCGGCGTGGTATCGTCGCGATTTTTGCGTACGCGCGCCGGCGACTTATCTGCGCGCGACAATTTTGTCCCGTTAACTTCTGAACCCTGACCAGCAATAACAACAAAAACAACCGCGCGAACGAATTTTCCGTGATTCGGTGTCAAACTTCTGCGCGCGAGTCTTGCGCAATAATTGTTTTTAACTGATAGCCGACCAATTAAACCAAAAAAAAGATGGCGGTTGCATCTGTAACTGCACCAGCGTGTACCCAAGATCACGTGAATCGGTATCGCGATGTAACGGAATCGAAATTGACCTTTACACGGTGCCAGCTTAAAACGGCGTTACGTTATGGAGAAAATTGTAGGTTAAAGGTTACAATAACGATGCTCGCCGGCCGTTAACTACTCTTTTATTCGATCCGAGTGGAAACTAACCGTCTATACCCGTGGACGGTGTCATCAGCTTCCGTAATGCTACGTGACACTTGTCTCGCGTGTTCCTCGAACGCACGCACCGATAGCAATAAGTCGCAGAAATCCATATCCGCTGATATATCGCGTCTCATCGTGTCCTCGATGCGTGTTCCAGTTTACAAAACGAACAAACCGAAGGATGGACACCTACGGATTTACAACCGGACCCTGCCGGTTCGTACGAACGCACACGGGGGTCCATAGAAAAATACACTAGACGGGCGACACGCTGCGCCGTGGAATGCGCACGATGTTGTACAACCTCCCCGTGTTACAAACGGTGGAAAACATAACCAATAAGATATATCTTATTCGCGTCGCCTTTATTCCGACAAATTTTTCGAATCGAAGGATCCGAAAATCTTCTCGAATCGTTCTAAGAATAGACACCGGTAAAATAAGAATGTAACGCGCGATATAAGAGGCAATCACGTGTGCATGCGGCTCGAAAAAAAAAGAAGCGTTGCGTGAGAAACGCGTCGTATGATGTAACGGCTCATAAAATAACATTAGAGCTATTCACGGAGTGTCGCGCGGAGAGGAAAAGTACGGGAAAGAAAGCGGAATCGGTGACGAAAAGATCGTCCGTAACTGCGGAGACAGAAACGATAAAGAATAACCGCACGGTTCAGATAATTACCAATCACGTTCGCGGTAATGCATATCTTGATGTTTCGTAACCCGCGGTCGGATTACCCCGTGACGAATACGTGTTCGAACTAATCGTGAATCACGGTGAATGGGACGGAAGATAACGTGCTGTACCGTCTCTCAATCCAGACGGAACACTGTCGTTTCCGTCGTTTTCCTACATATGCCCGTCTAGCTTTGTTTAACTATCGATAGATCCCGATATCTATCGACCCGTGGAGCACTTTATATAATCCAAGCCGCTCGCGCCGTAAAAGTATGAGCAGCGAGTGTGCGGTTCGTGTACCAATGCTCTCTACATGTTAATCGAGAATCATAGAGTCTTAGAAGAATCGCCAAAAAATGCCAGCGGAATACTATGGTGCACCGTTGCGCGATCTTCTTTCGGCGGGAGAAAATAGTATCGCCGCGCGCGCGCGCGCGGCGATACTATTTTCTCCCGCCGAAAGAAGATCGCGCGACGATGCACCATAGTATTCCGCTGGCATTTTTTGGCGATTCTTCTAAGACTCTATGATTCTCGATTAACTTGTAGAGAGCATTGGTACACGAACCGCACACTCGCTGCTCATACTTTTACGGCGCGAGCGGCGATACTATTTTCTCCCGCCGAAAGAAGATCGCGCGACGATGCACCATAGTATTCCGCTGGCATTTTTTGGCGATTCTTCTAAGACTCTATGATTCTCGATTAACTTGTAGAGAGCATTGGTACACGAACCGCACACTCGCTGCTCATACTTTTACGGCGCGAGCGGCGATACTATTTTCTCCCGCCGAAAGAAGATCGCGCGACGATGCACCATAGTATTCCGCTGGCATTTTTTGGCGATTCTTCTAAGACTCTATGATTCTCGATTAACTTGTAGAGAGCATTGGTACACGAACCGCACACTCGCTGCTCATACTTTTACGGCGCGAGCGGCGATACTATTTTCTCCCGCCGAAAGAAGATCGCGCGACGATGCACCATAGTATTCCGCTGGCATTTTTTGGCGATTCTTCTAAGACTCTATGATTCTCGATTAACTTGTAGAGAGCATTGGTACACGAACCGCACACTCGCTGCTCATACTTTTACGGCGCGAGCGGCGATACTATTTTCTCCCGCCGAAAGAAGATCGCGCGACGATGCACCATAGTATTCCGCTGGCATTTTTTGGCGATTCTTCTAAGACTCTATGATTCTCGATTAACTTGTAGAGAGCATTGGTACACGAACCGCACACTCGCTGCTCATACTTTTACGGCGCGAGCGGCGATACTATTTTCTCCCGCCGAAAGAAGATCGCGCGACGATGCACCATAGTATTCCGCTGGCATTTTTTGGCGATTCTTCTAAGACTCTATGATTCTCGATTAACTTGTAGAGAGCATTGGTACACGAACCGCACACTCGCTGCTCATACTTTTACGGCGCGAGCGGCGATACTATTTTCTCCCGCCGAAAGAAGATCGCGCGACGATGCACCATAGTATTCCGCTGGCATTTTTTGGCGATTCTTCTAAGACTCTATGATTCTCGATTAACTTGTAGAGAGCATTGGTACACGAACCGCACACTCGCTGCTCATACTTTTACGGCGCGAGCGGCGATACTATTTTCTCCCGCCGAAAGAAGATCGCGCGACGATGCACCATAGTATTCCGCTGGCATTTTTTGGCGATTCTTCTAAGACTCTATGATTCTCGATTAACTTGTAGAGAGCATTGGTACACGAACCGCACACTCGCTGCTCATACTTTTACGGCGCGAGCGGCGATACTATTTTCTCCCGCCGAAAGAAGATCGCGCGACGATGCACCATAGTATTCCGCTGGCATTTTTTGGCGATTCTTCTAAGACTCTATGATTCTCGATTAACTTGTAGAGAGCATTGGTACACGAACCGCACACTCGCTGCTCATACTTTTACGGCGCGAGCGGCGATACTATTTTCTCCCGCCGAAAGAAGATCGCGCGACGATGCACCATAGTATTCCGCTGGCATTTTTTGGCGATTCTTCTAAGACTCTATGATTCTCGATTAACTTGTAGAGAGCATTGGTACACGAACCGCACACTCGCTGCTCATACTTTTACGGCGCGAGCGGCGATACTATTTTCTCCCGCCGAAAGAAGATCGCGCGACGATGCACCATAGTATTCCGCTGGCATTTTTTGGCGATTCTTCTAAGACTCTATGATTCTCGATTAACTTGTAGAGAGCATTGGTACACGAACCGCACACTCGCTGCTCATACTTTTACGGCGCGAGCGGCGATACTATTTTCTCCCGCCGAAAGAAGATCGCGCGACGATGCACCATAGTATTCCGCTGGCATTTTTTGGCGATTCTTCTAAGACTCTATGATTCTCGATTAACTTGTAGAGAGCATTGGTACACGAACCGCACACTCGCTGCTCATACTTTTACGGCGCGAGCGGCGATACTATTTTCTCCCGCCGAAAGAAGATCGCGCGACGATGCACCATAGTATTCCGCTGGCATTTTTTGGCGATTCTTCTAAGACTCTATGATTCTCGATTAACTTGTAGAGAGCATTGGTACACGAACCGCACACTCGCTGCTCATACTTTTACGGCGCGAGCGGCGATACTATTTTCTCCCGCCGAAAGAAGATCGCGCGACGATGCACCATAGTATTCCGCTGGCATTTTTTGGCGATTCTTCTAAGACTCTATGATTCTCGATTAACTTGTAGAGAGCATTGGTACACG